AAATAAATAAATAAATAAATAAATAAATAAATAAATAAATAAATAAATAAATATAAATAATAAAATAAAATGTGAAAAAAAAAGTTGAGGAGGGAAGGCCTAGGCCACTGTGGTCATGCCACCCCTGGGCAGGTGATCCTGGGTTGTATAAGTGAAAAGGCTGAGCAATCCATGAAGAGCAAGCCAGTAAGCTGTGCTCCTCTGTGGCCTCTGCTTCCATTCCTGCCTCTAGGTTCCTGCCTTGAGTTTCTCTCCTGATTTCCTTCTATGAAGGAGTGTAAACTGAAAGCCAAATAAATTCTTTCCTCCAGAGGTGCTTTGGGTTGCAATTTTTTCTTTTAATCACGGCAACAGGAAGCAACCTAAAACATCTTCTCTAAGCACATCTACCACCTCCACTCTGTCTAGAGTCTGCTCATTAACGAGTGTGCATGTAATGAGCATGCCTGGGGGACAAGGTGTGACAAGATCCCAGCTGTGCTCAGTGATTGGTGCTCACCATCTTTGGCAGAATCCCCATCCCAGTGTGCTCCCTACTGCAGAAGAGATCGAAAGGGGTGATGTGTCAATAGCCTCCGTGGTGTGTATCTGGAGTGAGAACAAGGGCATGTGGGTGAGGCACGGCTCTGTTCACAGCGGTGCTGTGTCTGTATGCATGTGTGAGAGTGTATGTGCGGCTCAGACACCGAAGGAGCTCACACCTACTGGGGAGTGGAAAATTAGCTTTGGCAGGTGAGGAGCTGGGTGACAGGTGAGGAAGCCAGCAGGGTATCGGTGTTGTCCGCCTACTCTAGCTGTTTGCTGGGGTTGCTAACAATATCTTCCCACCTTGCCTCCTGCCCTTAATTACAATGAGACTGAGTGGAAATGATACGGAAGGGCTGGGGCGTGTGGGCAAGGGATATGACGATGTTGGAATGGCCTCCTCATCTTTGGAAACTAGCCATGTGTTTTGCAGGTAGGCTGCGCGAGGCCATGGGGGAACTGGCGTTTTCCTGAGGGCCCCAAATGTGAGCTGTGCAGCTTACATTCTAGTGGGTGGAAGAAAAGACTGATCTCTAGGGACTAAATCCTAGGAAATTCTGCCATATGGTGCAAAGCTAGAGGCAGTGTGTTCCAGGACTAGGAAGCCAGAAACCTGGGTTCCTGGGACTGACTGTAGGTCAGCTCTGTAGTCTTTATTGCCTCAGTTTCTATAGCAGCCAAGTGAAGCTAGCAATCTTATTGTTGCTCACCTGTCATGGGGGTAAAGCACATGAAGGCCCTTTGAAATGTCAAAAGAAGTGTTCTAAATGGGCACGAGGCCTCAGTGCCAAGGGAATTTGCCAAGCCTCCTGGGAGGCAGCAGTCTGCCTCTGCATTGCTTTCCACAGCCTGTGCTCAGGCAGGTCCTTAAGCATTGCACATCCACAAATCCCATCACCTCTCTCCAGTTAGCAAATAAGGGAAAGGGCAGGCTGATGCTCTGCCTCTGTCTGATCTTCTTACCAGCGCCTGCCCAGCCCCGCCCCACCAGAGGCGATGATCCTGCTGCCTCCCTCCTCTTCTCTGAGCTGTCAGTTTAATTTAACAGGGTTGCAGGAGAGGGCTGATTTGATCAAACCAGTTGCTGTATCCATCCCGCTCAGAGGTCCCTCAGTGTCACCACTGAGGCTCAGATTAGACAGTGACAATTATTTCCTTTCTGGCTATTGCGCCCCGCCCCCCTTCCCCTGGGGGGAGCAAGGGGGCAGACCAATCTCCTGGGACCTAAGAATAGATGCAGGAGGATCAGAGGAGGCAAACAGGCTCAGGCCCTGGAAAAGCCCCTCTCCACGCCTTACATGGCCTTGTTTAAGGCTGAGCAAAAACCCAGAGGGTGGGGAGAGAATACAATGTGAGTGGAGCTGCCTTGCAAAGGCTCAGGGCCGCCTAAGGCTAGCGCTCTGCGTTCTCTGATGGAAACATCTCCCGTACAGGGGGCAGATTGAGGTGGAAGGGTGGATAGGTGGCTGGGTGCTCTACCCCACCCCACCCCACCCCACCCCAAGCGTTTGTGTCCAGGCTCTCATCTTGGGTTCTGGGATATCTGGCAGTGGAAGGCAATCACAGTGGCAAGGGGAGGCTCCATCCATCTTGGTTTCCGTGGCTCTGTTCTTGGCAAGAAAGTAGGAGTGACAGGAATTGCTACCTGAACCAGGACTTCCGGGAATACTTGAGTGTGAAGTAACTGGTATGGTAGTAGTGGTCACGAAGGTGTGTGTGTGTGTGTGTGTGTGTGTGTGTGTGTGTGTGTGTGTGCTGGCGATGGTGGCTGTGGCTGGAGGGTAAGGCAAAGTAGGAGGGAGAGCTGTCTCTGGTCCAGAGAGTTTAGAATTCCAAAATGAATCTTTCATGACTTGTAACCCCTTCATCTCCCTCTCTCTTTCTAGGCTGTAGGTGCTAAGCACCTCTCTGCTCTCTGGAGCAGCTCACAGGAAAAACAAAGGGCTCCTGAGAGGGTCCGTCACGAGGATCATGAAATCCCTTTTCGTTTACTCATTTGTGTCACGTTCTTCCATTGGCCCAGCAACTGACAGGTGCTTTGGACTCTAGGTCCCTTCCAGGGTCCCCTCCGAGCCGTTTGTCTCTCACTCAGATATCTAGCAGACTTCACTGTGCATAGAAGACGAATGTGATCAGCAGAAACCCTTCCTGACAGCTCCAAAGAGAATCCCTTCCGATGCATATTCTATTGAGCACATCTCATAGAGGCTGACAGCCTCTTTATCAATTAAATTCCACATCCCAGGCTTTAGAGACACCACAAATCTCCCTACCTAATAAATCACAGGCCCCCAGTTATTGTTAAATGTCCCGTCAGTCTCTAATAAACTCCCTGCCAAAAGGGACAGGTTATTTATTATGCTGCTTGGACAAGAATGAATTGGGCCCCTTTCTCAGAAGAAGAGCAAACACGCCGCCTTCCTCCCTAAAGATTGGGGCAGTGGTGTTAGATGGGGGCAATCAATCAACTCGGGCCCTGAGCGGAGGGGAATCTGGTCAGAGTGTATGTGGGAAGACTGCCTAGGGCTCTAATCCCAAAGTCAGCCATGCAAACTCCCTTAACCAGAGGTGACAGTGCAAACTGGAGGGCTTAGACCTTTGTACATATTCCCCATGCCCAATTCCATTCTGAGGAAACACTGGAGATAGCACTGATGTGGCCATGGGACATTTGTAAAAAGATTATTCTCCATGTTAGGAAATGACATCCAGGATTGAACAGGGTCATGAAACAACACGTTCTGCCTAGAGGGCATATGATGTTTTTTTTTTTTTTTTTTTTTGACAAATTTGAGGCAAGGTTATGTTCCTTTACTGCACATGAACTGGAGAACAGGACAGGGAAACTGGAGAAGTCTGGGGACACTCTGCCTTGAGGTTCAGGGTAAGCGGTCCACAGGCAGTGCTGGAGCTTAGAAAACAAGGCCCAGGGGCCGGCAGGTATGCAAATCCAGGTGCAAAGTGGGCATTGCCATTATCTGCCTCAGTAGATAGGAAGCTTAGTGATGCACTCGGGTTTGCAAATTAAGATCTACCTCCTCCAGTTTCCGGTGAATCAAGCCCCATTTCCATTTCCAACTGTGTTTCTCTTCGCTGTTACATAACAGGACCCTCGTTGGAAGAGCATGACAAGCTCATTTTATATTCCTTGCGGTAACAAACGAGGCGTTCCATAACATGGAGCCAATACATCCCTCTAGCCTCATTTCCCGGAACTGCTGCCATCCCAGCCTCCGTTCACACCGAAGGACTTACCTTCTTTAAGCTATTAAAGTTCCTCATGCTTCCACGCCCCTACACAGACTGTTCTATTACCCAGAATAGCTTCCTGAGACTTGTCTGCCTGCTAAGCTCCCCTGCCACCCCCACTGCCTGAGGAGTCGGGGTTGGGGGAGAAGCTGCATCCCACAGGAGAAGTAGAGACTATCGGCCCCACCTCTCCCAGGGACGCCAGCTTCAGCTCCAGGTACCAACACCTCCACCTAAGTGCTGGACTCAGGGAATGAACACATGCAGCTTGCAGTTTTCCTGAGTTTGATGCATCCTCTAAAGCACTTTGACTTGGTGTAGGGATGAGAAGGACAGAGAAGAAAGTCATTGCTCTGTGAATCCCCAAGGCTGTTTCTCTCATTTTCTCAGAACTTCTCACTCCCACATGACAGCCACACTTTGAGCAACGAAGGACCTGAAAAAAAAAAAAAAGTCAGTTTTGCATATGATTTTTATACCAGCTTGTGCTACTTGCATATTTCATACTTGATCATTTTTTCCCCAGCTGGGCTGCCAGCTCTTTTAGGACAGGCAGAAGCAGGAGTCTGGGCTTTACTGCTTAGGCAGATCTGGCACCCTGAACAGGGTCTTTTCTCTTCTGAGGACTTACCAGAGAGCAATAGCTGCCTTCCATGGCACTTAAAGTCTCTGTGGGTAATAAAGCCTGGCCATCAGCTTACCTCTCATACCGTCTCAAAGCTCCCTCTGGTAGAGTTTGAACGAGAAATGTCCCCCGTTGAACACCCGGTCCCCAGCGTGTGTTGCAGTTTTGGGGACACGGAGGACATGAGGCCTGGATAAGGGATGTAGGCCACTGAGAGCGGGCCTCGAGGATTATGGTTCAGCCCGCCGTCTGGTCCTACCGTCTGCTTTCTGGTTTGCCGAGCTGTGAACAAATAGTGCAGCAACAGCTCCCGAAGCCACAGACCGAAGTGTTCCAACTACCCCAGCTGCCCTGCCTTCCAGGCCATGATGGACGGACGGCACCCTCGGAATTTATAAACGAAATAAATCTCTCCCCACTGAAGTTGCTTCTGTCAGGTGTTTTCTCACAACAATGAGAAAAGCAACTAATACTCTCCCTCTATTTTCATTCTAAGATATTCCAGAATGTGCTATGAGATCTGGAGAGGTGGCTCAGTGATAAAACAAACAAACAAACAAACCAAAAACAAAACAAAACAAAACAAAAACTCTTGTAGTTGTGGCAGAGTGGTTAAGGCGATGGACTTGAAATCCATTGGGGGCTCCCCAGCAGGTTCGAATCCTGCTGACTGCATAGTTGTGTTTTAGCCGGGCGGTGGTGGCGCACGCCTTTAATCCCAGCACTCGGGAGGCAGAGGCAGGCAGATCTCTGTGAGTTTGAGGCCAGCCTGGTCTACAGAACGAGATCCAGGACAGGCACCAAAACTACACAGAGAAACCCTATCTCGAAAAACCAAAGCCAAAACCAACCAACCAAACAAACAAAAAAAGACTGCTCTTATTGAGGACCCAGATTCAATTCCCAGAACCCACATGGCAGCTCACAACTGTCTGTGACTCCAATTCCAGGGGATCGAACACCCTTTTCTGGCTTCCTTGGGCACCAGGAACACGAAGGATTTACAGACACTCATGCAGGCAAAACGTTCATTCACAAAAAAGTAAAAATTAAAAGAAATGTGCTGTGGTCTTCTGCATCTTAAGGCCTCTGATTTCTCCTTCTGTGATACGAGCAACAACTTCTATTCATTCTCTAGTTTTTTAAGATTTTGCCAACTCTGGGAAGCTGTGGAAGACTCTTAATTGCCTCATATGTAATCCCTTCCCCCTTCTGTATTAATATACATCTTTTGTAACCTGTAGTTAGACGGGCACACATTGTTTAGAAAAATAAATATACTTCCAATGGACCCAGCAAGATTGCTCAGTGGGTAAATGCATTTGCTGCCAAGCCTGATGATCTAAATTCAGTTTCCAGGACCCACATGATGGGGGAAAAGAACTGATTCCTACCTGGCCACTGAGGACTTCTCCCAGATCCTTGTCTGTGTGCCATCACTGTGCACAGGCCTATGCAGTCCATTCCTTCTGCTGGAAGTCATCCTTGCCCCAGACTCTGTTCAGTTCTGCCCAGTCACTTCCTTTCCGTAGCTGAGGAGGTAATTTCAGGGCTCCTGTAAATCTTAGGAAGATCCTTCAGGAAAGAGGGTCCTGGGCATCTTCCTCATGCTTAGGCCTGAGACCAGAGCCATGTGGACTTGGAATGATGTCATCTCGGTTTTCCACCTCCCTTTTTACAAAATAGTTTTAACTGAAATAGAATTATGTTCCCCCTTCCTTTTTTACCCTCTAGCCCCTCCTAAGTCCCTTTCCTCAAACTTCTCTACACCTCCCACTCTCAAATTGATAGCCTTTTTATTATTGTTACACACACACACACACACACACACACACACACACACACACACACACACACGTATATGTATGCACAAAATATAAACACAACTTGCCGAGTCTGCTTTTGTTGTTTGTGGGTATGGCTTCAGGGCTGACCACTTTGTATTGGATACCCAATAAAGGGAATCATCCCTGGAAGATGCTAATTCTCTCTCTCTCAGCAGTTATTTTTCTAGGGATGGAACCCATGAGGTATCCCCAATTCTGTGTTAGCATGTCTATTGATACTATTATTGTCCTGATCTTGTTTATATAGCCATTTCTAGGGGAAACTGTTTCACAGAGGACTCCCAGACATACTGGGTTCTTGTAATCTTTTTGCTTCCTCTTCTGAGATACTCCCTGAGCCAGAGATGCAGGAGCTGTGCTGTAGAGGTTTCCACTGGTACTGGGCTGATCCATTGATCTCCACATTGTGTCCAGTTGTATTTTCCACCATGGGCTCCATTTGCTGCAAAGAGAAGCTTCTTCCTTCTCTCCTCCTCCTCTTCCTCCTCCTCCTCTTCCTCCTCCTCCTCCTCCTCCTCCTCCTCCTCCTCTTTTGGTTTTTTGAGACAGGGTTTCTCTGTGTAGCTCTGGCTGTCCTCCAACTCACTCTGTAGACCAGGCTGGCCTTGAACTTAGAGATCCACCTGCCTCTGTAAAGTGCTGGGATTAAAGGCATGTGCTACCACTGTCTGGCTAAGATAAGCTTCTTTGATGAGGGGTGTTAGCTACACTTGCCTGAGTGTTTAAGACTAAGATTTAAAATGTAATTAGGAATTATGATGGTCTAGCAAAGTGGTAATAGTATATTCTCTTTTATGATCCATGAACTCATTAGTCCCAGGAAGTTAGGTTTCTATACCAGGTGTGACTTTGCTGCTGTTGACTGGACCTTCAGTCCAATTAGACAGCTGTTAGTTACCACCAAGATGTGAGTGCCACTATTGTGCCTCTATGGACATTTTGCCATAATACTATTGTGGTAAATAGGCATTGCAGCTGGTTAAGTGTCTTACCTTCTTTAACTGTAGAATGGAGATGGTAGCGTCCATCTCACATGGTTGTAATTTCCCTCCAAGAACAGAGCTTAATAAATGTTAGCTATCTCCATGGCCACCATTACCACATTCATCTCACTCACCACTATCACAATTGTCCTCCATCATCATTAAGATCAACAGCACTGTCATCTCCATTCTATTTGCTTTGCTTCCCTGTTCATCCTCAGAACATCCCACCAGAAGAACTTCAAGGCTCGAGATTATAGGAGCTTATTTCCCTGTTTTTATTTTTGGTATTACAATCCTGAAGCATGAGGCACAAGATAGAGTACCCGAAGACAAAATCAGTGATCTTGTTAAAGATATGATCAATGATTCTTTCCAGGTGTGTATTTACTCTGTAGCCCAGGCTGGTCTAGAACTCACTATGTACCCTAGGCTGGCCTCAAACTTGTGCTGATCCTCCGGCCTCAGCTTCTTAAGTTCTGGACTAGACACACCAGCTGCCTTGTCTAGCTGCTCTTATATAACTGGTTCACTATCAACTCAATTCATCTCATTTTGATGGTTTTAAAAACTACGTTCAAAATGTCTTTCCTTCTGAAAATGCCAAATAGTATCAAAATAGACAAAGTGAATACTTGAATCCTCTCTTCCCACTTCTTAAGGGTAAATGCCTTTATTAATATAGTATGCATTCTTTTGGGTATTTTTCATTACACATTAAAAATCAGAGTACTGGATATACTGTACCAGTAGAATAAAAAAATTGAGTATGCATGTGCATGTGTGTGGGTGTATGCATATGGTAGCATGTATGTGGAGGTCAGAGGATAACTCGCAGGAGTCAGTTTTCTCCTTCCACCATGCGGGTCCCTGGATGGAACTCAAGTAGTCAGGCTTGGAAGCAAGCACCTTTGCCTGAGGAGCCATCTTCCATAATGGCAGAAGCTTTTTGAAAGCTAAGATTTTAAAGTATTGTGGTCAATACACTTACCAAGTTTAGCATCTTGGTGATTTTTAGGTGTACATTTCAAGTACTAAGTAGAGTTACATTGATATGAAGCAGGATCTCCCACACTTTTTTGTCTTGCAATCTCCAACTCTAAATCTGTTAAATATCAACTCTGCTTTGCTCATCTCCTTACTCTTGCTAACAACAACTGTATTTTCTACATCTATGACTCTGATTCACTTAGCGGGCTCACACAAATGGAAGCATACAATAGTTGTCCTCTAATTGGCTGACTTCACTTGGAATTAGGTCCTCAAGGGTCATCCATTTTGTAGTATTTATCAAAATTTTCCTCCGTTACAAGGCTGCTTACTATCCCACTGTAAATTGCATACTTTATTTATCCTTTCATCTACTTTAAAACAAGTTTTTGTTTCTAATGATGGTATGAACACGAGTGGGTAAATATATTGAAAAAAGAAAGGAACTGTAATGGTATTAGCTGCCCACTTGACAGGATCTAGAATTACCTGGAGATGGGCCTTTGAGCAGCCTGTGGGTGATGAGCCATTAAGTTAGTTGATGTAGGAAGACCAATCTTAATGTGGGCAGGATCATTCTCTAGGCAGAGGATTCTGGTGTGTATAAAGTGGAGAAAGCAGCTTCTCACTAGCGGGTCTTCATTGTTCTCTGTCCACTTCTTTCAAGATGTAATGTGACCAATTGCTTCAAGCTCAACTTTAATACTTCAGGTTCAATACTGCCTTGAGTTTCCTACCATCATGGCCTGTACCATGAACCGTGGTCCAGAAAAACAAAACAAAAGAAAACCTTTTCCCTTAAGTTGCTTTTCTCAAAGTACTTTGTCACAGCAACAGGAAAAGAAACTAAGAGAGGAAGGAAGAAGTGAGGAATGAGTCACTCTTTGATGGGAACGTGCTTAAATAGTAAAGTGTTTGTTTAGTATGCCAAAGTTGCTGCTTCAACCCTTAGGAAAAAAAGCAGACAAAGAAAGCCATTTCAATGCCTCTGGGGTGCATGGTCTGGACAGAGAAGATTCTGAATGGGGAGGCCAATAGGGAAGGGTGCAATAGTTAGAATGACCAAAAGACCAAGAGTAAATATATATTGAAAAGGAGTAGAAGGGATATTTGGAGACATTATTGGCCAGTAAATTGTTAGAAAGAGGGTGTAGCAAAGCAAAAAAAGAATTCTCAGATTTGCAATTTGTGGATTAGGTGGATGAAAGATGTGGGCAACTAGGAGAAAGCCTGTGATCTTTAGTGCCATATTAGTTCCTTATTAGTTGTGATTTTTAGTATCTTATAAGTTCCCCTTCCTTCATATGGATAGTGGGTGCTTGCTTAGTGTTTTGTAAATTAGTAAGCAAACAGCATCCATCTTCAGTTCCCACTTCTAGTCAATTTCCTAGCCAGATATTTCAACACAACTGGGACGTGGGGACATCAGTGCATGTATGGGAAACAAGACCAGAATTACACATAAGGACAAATGAGGTTTGTGATAGGTCTTGTCAACGTGCTATTTAGAATCGGCTATGAAACAAAACTCTGTGCAGGTCTGTGTGAGCATTTTGAGAGAGGAAAACAGTATTGTTTAATGTTTCTGATTTTGTTTTTCCTACGAAGGGGAAAAGGGAACAAGTCAGAATAGGTCCCCGTCTTCAGTAAATATTTTAGGTAGTTGTATCGTGAAGAGTGACCAGGTGCGGTGTGGCACACACCTGTCATCACTTGGCAAGTTGAGGCAGAATTTCCAATTTGAGGCCAGCCTGAGCTGCATTGGGAGACTGTGTCTTAAAAAAAAAAAAAAAAAAAAGCCAACCAACTAAGCCAATCAAACCCAAAATCAAAGAACAGGAATAATCGGAAAGGCCAGGGAGCAGACAGGATGAGGGTGACTGAAGATTTCAAGGCAGACCTCTTAAGCAAGGCGACGTGTGAGCGGATCTAGGGGAAGGGGAAGTGATGAGCTAGCTGCCCACCCGAGATCGGAAGGAAGGGCGCACAAAAGATGCGTTGAACCTGAGACGTCTATTAGCCCAGAGTTTCAAGAGAGCGCTCAAGCGGAGCCTGGGACTTGGCAGTCCAGTCAGGCTTCCACTTCGAGATGCTAGGAGGCTCCGGTCACGCGCCCCGCACTGTGCTAAGGGGCCGGGGCACCGACGTGACAGGACGGTGCTAGCGCGGTAAACCCCGTCTGGCCGTGTTCCGGGGCGCTGTCTGCGGGCACCGAGGGACAGCGGGAAAGGGCGCGGAGAGCGAAGACTTGGGCTAGACCCGGGCAGCGGACCCCAGCGCGGCGGCCGAGACTGACGCGCGCGCTGCGTCACAAAGCGCGCCCGGAGCGCCGGATTCCGGAGCAGCCAGCGCCGCGCAGCCCGTCCGTCAGAGCCGCGGGAGGCGGGCGGCGCCCACCGCGGGCACGCGACGCCCTCTGCAGGCCGCAGGCGGCAACACTGGTAGCCTCATCTTCCTTCGCTCTTCCCGCCTCTTCCTCAGGCTACATTTTTTTTTTTTCCCAACACCCACCTACAGCGTGTCAGCCTCCGACTTCCGTTCCTCCCCTCCACTTCCAGGCCAGGTGTGTTCGTGTCTCCTCGGGGAAACTGACAATAAAGTTTTTCCTCTTCTCGCTCCCAGGAGCCCCGCCTCAACTCTAAACATCGCGAGATCTGGAGGCGCGGCTACCATGGCGGCGGCTTTTGAAGCCCCGGCGGCCTTGACAACCGCGGAGTCCGCTATGGCGGCCGAGCGTGTGGCCGGGCCGGCGCCGGCTGCGGAGCCGGCTCCCAGCTCCCCGTGGAGCCTGCGGACGGCTCACGACATCGGCGGGCCGAGGACGCGTACGGGGGACGTGGTGCTGGCGGAGCCCGCGGATTTCGAGTCGCTGCTCCTGTCGCGGCCGGTGCTGGAGGGGCTGCGGGCGGCCGGTTTCGAGAGGCCGTCTCCCGTGCAGCTCAAGGCCATCCCGCTGGGGCGCTGCGGGCTCGGTGAGGGCCGGGGTCCTCCGGGGGACGGGGCGGCGCGGCCCGCGAGGGCTCCGGGTCCGCGCCGTTGCGGGGCTCGGCGAGGCTCTAGGCGCGCCATTGACTTTGTCGCATGGAGTCCAAGTTGGAGAAGATCAGCGGTTAGAGATTCGGGGCCCGGGGAAATGGCTCGGTGGTTGGTTGAGGGGCCAGGCACGCCTCGTGCGCGTTTGAGAGTCAACTAAAAAATGCAGGTGACAGCTAGGTGGTCTTAGGAGAGAACCTGGTCGTTCCCTGATCCCGTATCGGTGTCTAGTTGCTTCAGTGAATCTAGCTAACGATAGCTATATTTTTTTTTCTTCCTCAGATTTGATTGTTCAAGCTAAGTCTGGCACTGGGAAAACTTGTGTATTCTCCACCATTGCTCTGGACTCTCTTATTCTTGAAAACTGTAGTACTCAGGTGAGTTTAACTCAGAGGATCCAGAGGGGGTGTGTGTGTAGCACTTGGACACTAGCTAGACTTAGGAAAAACTTAACTCCTCACAGATGGTGAGTTTGAATGGAAGCCAAGCCATATGAAAATTACAGAAGTGAATATCAGTTTTTTAAATTTGGAATTTTCTGTAATTACATCTTGAATATGTGTCAATTAAAATCATTATGCAATAAAAAACTTGTAAAATCATTATGCAGTTAAAAACTTTCCGTACTAGATTGGGGTTAGACATAGAAGGTACAAGTTTTGGTTTATATAATATGCTATGGAAGCACTTTGTATGGTTGGGTTTTTTTGTTTGTTTTGTTTTTTCTAGAGGGTTTCTCTGTGTAGCCTTGGCTGTCCTGAAACTTGCTCTGGAACTCACAGAGATCCTCCTGCCTCTGCCTCCCAAGTGCTGGGATTAAAGGTGTGCCCTTGTTGTCTAGGAACCTTTTTGAGTTCTGTATCTACCAAATTCTGGGAGATACTGAAATACTTCTTAAGGACAGTGGCTGGTCTATTTGTAAATTAGGTTGTGTTTGAGAGTTTTGGCTTGTGATATTTGGCAGCATACCAAATCCTAAACCTAAGTAAAATTCATATTTTAGTTAAGGTTTTTGATATTATTGAAAGTGTGTGTGTATCAAAGTAACACTACATAATTTTTTTAAGTTGGGAAATTTCAGAAAAAAAGAGATCAAAGTACCAGAGAACCCCGTGTGTGGTGTGTACCCAGAGTTAAGGGATGGACTTTAAAAAAACATTTTTATTATTTCCTAGTCTTTTTTTTTTTTTTCCCCAAACAGTATTTTGTTTGTTTGGTTTGGTTTTTTGAGACAGGATTTCTCTGTGTAGCTTTGCGCCTTTCCTGGAACTCAATCTGTAGCCCGGGCTGGCCGTTAAGTCACAGAAATCCACCTGGCTCTGCCTCCCAAGTGCTGGGATTAAAGGTGTGTGCCACCACTGCCCGGCTCAAGCAGTATTTTCTTACAGTGACAGCATGTATGTTCTCCAGTTGTTATATTGCAGTTTTTACTATGTGTGGCTCTCATGGCCTTTGGGACCTAACCCTGGGAGTTAGCTCTGAGATAGATTCCTCTTAAAATTTATCTCATACATGGGCCTTTTTGCTGTTCCTCATGTGTATCTTAAGGCCTTTGAATTTACTTTTTCTTTTCATCTGGTATGTCTCACAACTAGCTCTTCTCAAATGTTACTTCCTTATGGAGCTCTTAAAATTCTTTTGTTTGTTTGTTGGAGGAAGGCACACTCTCCATCCATAGTTTTAGATGGACCGAAACTTGCAACATAGACTAGTTTTCAATTTGAGGCAGTCCTCCATTATCTCTTTCAGCATGGTGGAATCACAGGTGTATGCCAACATACCTCACTTCAGACAGGCTTTCTGATCACCCCGTTTAAAATGACTTCCCTTGTCAGGTCTTTCTTTTTTCCCTATTTGATTTTTTTAATCATACTTTTTATTACTTGCTATTACATGTATATATTTTTTTGTTTATATTATAACCAGAGTGCCAAGAGAAATTCTTTACAACTTGTATGTTTTCTCCCATATAGTAGGTTCTTAATAATTAACTGAGTAAGCGGGGCAGTGGTGGTGCACGCCTTTAATCCCAGCACTCAGGAGGCAGAGGCAGGTGGGTCTCTGTGACTGTGAGTTCAAGGCCAGCCTGGTCTACAGAGTGAGTTCCAGGACAGCCAGGACTGATTCACAGAGAAACCCTGTCTCGAAAAATCAAAAAAAAAAAAAGGAAAGAAAAAAATAAATTAACTTAGTAAATGCATGGAATTTATTTTCTCTTGTCTTAAAATGAAAAGTAGTGCAGCATGCAATGAATGCATCACTCATGTATTCCTCTGACTTGTTAAAGTAATATTTTACAATTTATTTTAGATTTTGATATTGGCTCCCACAAGAGAAATTGCTGTTCAGATACATTCTGTAATTACTTCCATTGGAATAAAAATGGAAGGGTTAGAATGTCATGTCTTTATTGGAGGGACTCCATTATCTCAAGACAAAACCAGACTTAAAAAGTGTCATATTGCTGTTGGATCTCCTGGTAAGTTATTAATACCTGTTGGTAGCTGAAGTTCTTGAGGAATTGAACACTGGATGGGAGTCTTTGATGATGGGGATAACGACTTTGACTAGAAGGGAAGAACATTAGACCAGTGAGACATGTGGCTGGATTATCAACAGAATCTGTTTATCTCCATTCTAAAGCATGTTTGAAAATACATATGGCTAGGCTTCTGAGATGTGATATGACTTGGAGGAAACTTGTCTAAGCCATGGATTGAGATTTTTGTTGTTCTTGATGGTAATTTGCTCGTCAGTCACTCAGACTCTAGAATTCAGTGTTTTAGCATTTATGTCTTTTGATAGCAGTGATGTTTGTTTTCCATATTTATCAGGGATGAAAAGTGTGTAGGGTGGGGGATTCAGGCAAGATGAGAATTTAAGATTACTAAGATTGCGAGTTAGTGTGTGAATGTGCACTGTGAGGAAATTCAGCAGTATAAAATTCACCTGTGGATAAATACAGTAAAGCATTCCTGAGGTTTGTTTGTACAGATTTGATATGTCATAAGTATTTCAGGCTTTGCTGTTTTTCTGGCATATAGGAAGAATTAAACAGCTCATAGAACTTGACTACCTGAATCCGGGCAGTATCCGTCTCTTTATTCTTGATGAAGCAGACAAGCTCTTAGAAGAAGGCAGCTTCCAGGAGCAAATAAAGTAAGAAAACTAACTTGACTAGAAAAATGTGTGTCTAAGTGTCCGTCTGTACTTTTTCCAGGTAGTGTTTGCTGTCTGCATAGTTTTCATGGTCTATGTTTTCTTGTATTTACAGTTGGATTTATTCCTCTTTACCTGCCAGTAAACAGATGTTGGCAGTATCTGCTACTTATCCTGAATTTTTGGCTAATGCTTTGACAAGGTATATGAGAGATCCCACATTTGTAAGATTGAATCCCAGTGATCCAAGCCTCATAGGTATGTATAGATTTTACAGTATTAGTGTATGACATTGTGGAGCTTCCCTTGTCTAATTGGCTATGACCACATCATAGTTGCCATTGGAATTCATCAGATGTGTTTTAACTGGGGACTTTTGACTTCTTTGTAGGTTTGAAGCAGTACTACCAAGTTGTCAATTCTTACCCTTTGGCTCATAAGATTTTTGAGGAAAAGACTCAGCACTTACAGGAACTTTTCAGTAGAATCCCATTTAATCAAGCCTTGGTGTTTTCTAATTTGCACAGCAGGTAATATAACTTAATCCAGGGAACTTAAAAAAAAAAACAGAAAAAAAGGCCTGGAGGTGGTGGCGCACGCCTTTAATCCCAGCACTTGGGAGGCAGAGCCAGGCGGATCTCTGTGAGTTTGAGGCCAGCCTGGGCTACAGAGTGAGTTCCAGGAAAGGCTCAAAGCTACACAGAGAAACCCTGTCTCGAAAAACAAAAAGCAAAACAAAACAAAAAAACCATAAAAAAAAAACAAACAAAATAAAACAAAACAAAACAAAAGAATAGGCATGAGGCAGTAGTTGAAAGTTGTAAATCTCTTTTTTTTCTTGTAGAGCTCAACATTTGGCTGATATCCTTTCTTCTAAAGGTTTTCCTACTGAATGCATTTCAGGCAAGTCCAACTCTTTGTTTTTGTTTAATGTATTGCCTTGAAGCTTTCCACATCAAGAGAAAAACATCACTTTTTGAATTGTTTCATGAGTGTGAGGTTGCACTAATAATAAAGGAAATTCAGGCTTATTTTTCATTGGAATTTGATATCAGTCTCCTGGATTTTTTTTTTTTTTAAATTTTTTTAA